GGAAGGAAAGAAGGAAGGAAGGAAGGAAGGAAGAAAAAGAAAGAAAGAAAGAAAGAAAGAAAAAGAAAGAAAGAAAGAAAAGAAAGAAAAAGGAAGGAAGAAAGGAAGAAAAAGAAAGGAGAAAAGAAAAGCTGAGATTCTGATCAAAAGGGGAGAACTGTTAAAAAGAAGGAGGAGGAGGAAAAGAAGAAGAAAGGAAGGAAACAAACAAACAAACAAAAAACAGGCCTCAGAGTCACTGGTGCTGACCCCACATCAGGAAACAAGGCTTAACATCTAATTGTAGTTTCAGCCTCTCCCAGGAAGGTAACCTTTAACCCGTACATCTGGAGTTACTGATCAGCACTAGTGAGGTAATCTGCCTGAAAGAGCCCTGCCTTTCCCCCAAAGGAAGGTGACCTTGCCTGAAACAATCCACTGTTTGTTAGAAACTTCCTTTTTCTACTCCTGTCTGCCTATAAAAGTCTTCCATTTTGTACAGCTCCTGGGAGCTCCTTCCTTTTGCTGGATGGGATACTGCCCAATTCATGAATCATTGAAAAAGCCAACTTGATCTTCAAATTTACTCAGTTGCATTTTATTTTTTAACATTGGGCATAACACACTTCAGCAAAATCTTAAAGCAAAAAGTGAATAACTGTCAACTACTTAACAAATATTGACTATATGCATCTGAGAGAAGGCAACTTAAAAAAGAGCCACAGGCACTGTTACAGACCAAAGAACCGAGAAGTGAGGAAGACTGAAAAAGCATCCAGTCTACAAGTTGCCTCATACAAAAAGCCATAAAGTCTATAAACATCTCTTCCTCCACAGCAGCAGAGAACACCCTTGTCAGTCATAACAGACCCAGCTGGCGTACTAGGAGAAAGGGCACCCCTCGGAGAAATCTGCACACCTGCATGAATTTATCAATACCAAGTGAGAAGAGACATGGTTCAAGCCTCAGAAACACAGATGAAAAATGATGGACTTTAATAGAAGAGGTTTGAGTAACTGCAGACAGAGACTGGGAACCTCTGCAATCTGCATGAGAGACCTGATAACACAAACAGCAGATAACACCAAACCAGAATAACACCAGGGAAATGAGACAGACCAGAAGCAGGAGAGAGCCAGTTCTCAGAACCAGATGCAGTCCAGGTGACCAGGGTTTGAAAGTTAATACGAGAGCCATGGTAACATCTGTGGAGTGAACCACACTGATCACAGGCAAAATGTACTGTAGGAACACCTATCCAGGGTCGGAGAAATAACATGAATTAAACTGGCAAGAATAGGGGAGGATTTGCAAGTTGAAGAGACCTTCAGAGAGACAGTCAAAACAGGAAGAAGCAGCCCGCAGAACTGTAGACTGCTTTGCATGCTTTCTACCACAAGAGGGAGGGAAGCCAATAATACGTTGGAGTTTGACCAAGCAGAATTGAAATCTGGGTAGAGCCTACGTTGAGCAAGCCTGACTGCAGGTCGCCCCCCCCCAAAAGGAGAACCCTCCCTGCCCCTTACAATAATGCATTCTGAGAAAAGCTACATGCAAATGAAGTTAAAAGTAACCCAGAGCATGTTATATGCATCTGATGAATTGTTGAACTCTACACCTCAAACTAATGATGTACTATATGTCGGCTAATTGAATTTAAATTAAGAGAAAAAGTAACCCATAGCAGAGCAAACGAAGTCACAAGAGGCATTGAGGGAGAATCTGTGTAGCAGAAAAGGGATGCAAACAGGAGGGAAGCATTTAAATTGTGTAGAGAAAGGTTAACACCAAGTCCACATGCTTGAGAGAGCTTCCGTGTATTGTGTAAACCTGAAGGTTCTCCTCCTGGCTCGAGCACACCTGGCACCAGGATATCATTCATCCTTGTCGCCACCATTGACTAGAAGAGGCGCTAGACTGGGAAATGGGAGCTCCCCCGGCCCTTGTGGCCTGGGTGAGGAAATACAGCAGCTGGGTGAATTGCGCCTTCCCAGGATGCGTGGTAGGAAGGGAAACCAACAGTTGTATTTGCATCTTATTGGGGTGGTGGTGATAACGGCAGAGTGAGAGATTTTCTCTATGCAGAAACATCCATATATGCGTATCTGAATTTATAATACTGAATTTACTAGTTGTTCATGGTTAATTGCATGGTGTGCAACCAGTTCTAATATATATGTAAAATTTTGTCATTACCAAGTCCTGAGTTAAAAGAAAAAGAAGAAAAATACTCGGGAATTGTTGAATTGGCTATGCGAATCCTCAATTTTTCAGCCATCACCTTTCTCAGGCATTTCTCATCTCACACTTTCAGTGGGTATAGGAACAGGGAAAGGAATGATAAATGAATTAGCCTGTACTATTTAAATTATTTTCCTCTCTCCCTGGCCCCCTCTTCTGCTCCAAGCTGAATGGTTGAATTTGGGTAATTTAAAGCATTTAAGATGTAACTCCACCATACAATGCAAGCCCCATCCCTAACAGTATGAAGACTCGGCTTCTCTGAACCTGCTCTTCTGGAAGCAGACAACCCTAACTCCAGGATGTGCATCCAGCTTCTGTAACAGAGTCTGCCGGGGTCATGCTTCATGCCGCAGTTCCCTCCTTACCTGGAGCCCAGCCTTGGCTGGCTCCTTCTTCCTAGGGAGCCACACTTGGTCCTTGTTCCAGGGGCTGAAAAATGAGCGTCTTTTTCATCCAACTTCTGAATCAAGGTGTAGTTATCCACCTCTAACTATCACCTCTACCTATAGATTCCTGGCTCCCTGCCCCTAGATCCAATGTTGTGGAAAGTGACATCATTTCAAAGTGGACAGAAGTTCATTCTTCCCCATGAGCAGCCAGCTACGTTTTAGAAACCAGCCCTACCTAATTCCCTCAACACTGCATTCAGCCACGAGGTTAGCAGGAGGCCTTCAGTAAACTGAAGTTCAATAGCAACAGACTGGAAGTCAGAGAGAGTATGAGTCTGTGGCCTTGGAAGCCCATGCAATGAAAGGTTTCAGAGGATCAGCAGCTTGACTTCGTCTCTTCCCCGCTTCCTCACTGGAGCAAAAACAGAACAGGGCAAGATCCCTGAGTCGGTGTGACCTCTCTATCTATGTCAGAGAGATGGGAATTTAAAAAGAGCACCGTGAAAGCAAGCCGTTTTTACCTTCCATATTTCCTGAGTGAAGTGCTTGGCATACAGTAGATGCTCACTTAATATTTGTTGAATGACTGAATGAACAAAGGAACAAATGCAAATGCTAGGTGATTTTTCAGCTGCGCTTCTACTTAGCACCATCGGAGCCCCGACTCAGGAGGACCAACAGATCATATGTTCAAGTGCAACACTTCTCCTTTCAGGCTTTCAGTGCATTTATCACATCACTTAGGTGACTCTACACATATAATTGAAATACATCACTTGCAAAGCCCCACGAATGACACCAGCCGCCGTGGGGCCAGTGCTGTAATTTCCAGAGACGCCTGGCTAATCTGAGTGACATGGCCTCAAGACATTTCAAATACGGAGCAGCTACCCTCATCCAATCTTGCCTCCCTCCCCGCCCTCCTGCTACCCCCCACAACTGGTAAGAATCTCAGAATGTCCTCAAGGTGTTTCTAGGTCACAAGTAACCCTTGGGCTTGCGGCACATAAACTGGTCCTTGGGACTTCTTCACTGCCCTTTAGAGATTGAGCGTAATAGCCTGTGGCTCTTTTCCACAAAGCTCAGGCCTGACTTGCTCACCCGTATGGAAATGGATCCAGGTTAGTAATGGACATTTACAAAACACCTACTTGTGAAGGCCTTATACAAATCCTGGCTCATTGGGTATTACAGTCTGGTTGAGTCTCTCCTGAGACAAAGCATTTCCTTTCCCTCCAGTGTAGATTACATCCAGAGCTCCTTCTAAAGACTGCTTTGTGTAAGCTATCCCATGCCCCACCCATTAAGTTTTCTACAGATAGAACCAGGTTTAAAGGAAACAGAGGAGACCTCAGGGTAAAGGCAGCCTGTGAAAGTAAAAATAAGAGGCACAATCATTGCAAAGTATCTGCTTCAGGGTGGGCATCAAAGCGCACACCTCCCCAATACCTGTCATTTTAGAACTTGGACTCTGCCCATGCCTTCCACAGCTTCTTAAAATTGGACTCTGGGAGGCAGAAGATCCTTCAGTGGTCACGCTGTCTGACTTGTGTAGCCATGCCGGAATCCCCTAACATCCCTGACTGGCAGTCAGACAGCCTTGTCTTGTGCACCAACTCAGAACCTTCCAAACGTGCCTGATTGTATGAACCACCAGTAGCACTTGTAAAAAGTATATAGCCCACGAACTATTCAAAGCTACACAAAATCAAAACCTGCAGAGAAGGGGCCTGTGAACCCAAATTGCAACAAGCATCCCTAGTGAGTCCTACAATTAAGCATGTTTCTTATGTGCATGTAATGCAGTGGTTCTTGACAATAGCTGCATCTGAGAATCAGCTAGGAAGCTTTAAAAAAATCAATGACAGGGCTTTACCCCTAGCTATTCCTACTTAATTTGTCTGGAGTAGAGCCCAGGAGGTGTAAATGTTTAAAGCTACTAGCTGATTCTAATCTGCAGCGAGGGTTAAGAACGACCGTAATATCTTCCCAACCCGATGGTAAGCTCTTTGAAGCCAGCAACCAAGAAATCTATACCTCTTAGTACCCCTTACCCAACCCCACCATCGTGTTGTACCTGCCGTAAAACACACTCTATCACTACTAAGTTGATCTCATTTAACTAGCTTTGCTCACCCATTCAATGGGATGCAATTTCCTAACTCTGCTAAGAAGCTGTGTGCTTCCACTCAGCAAGAGGCCAGACGATAGGAGGATATGAAGTGCTACAACTTTTCATAGTTGAGTCTGTGCGCGCGTGCACGCACGCACGCACATACACACACACCCAGCCCTCCCCTACCCCAGAGTAACCAGCCGACACAATGCCAGAAGCCTCATTGCAGGGTTCTTCCCTCTTGCTCCAGCCCCCTGCAAGCTCTACTCACATTGTACAGCACGGTAGTCCACCCTTCCATGGTGATGCATTGGAAGACAGTCAGCACAGCAAAAAGTATGTTATCAAACTGGGTGATCCCATCATTGGGGCCAATCCAGTCCCGGCACTCATAACCAGCTGGGCAGCCCTGCACACCACATGGGTGAGGGGGGTCAAATCCTTCCAGAATACCTGCAGACACATTTGGAGGGCAGGAGACAAATCACATGGTGTTTAGCATGAGCTGGAAAGGACTCCAGGAAGCCACAAACACTCAATTCTATTTCCCCCAGAAAAGTGTGTCCTTCTTTCTCTCAAGCTCCCTCCCGCCTCTGGCCTCTCTCCACCTCACAGCTCACATACCACAAGCTCATCCCAGTGCTTCCCAAACTCCTCTGAACATGGAGCCTCTCCTCCACATGGCCTTCACTTTCTGCAGGCCTCATTCTCTACCCTCGCCTGAGTCCCACAGGAAGTGACAGACTGGATCACACAGAACAGTCTGAGGTGAAGGCAGAATCTTACTGAGTTTCTAACTTCAGACTGTAGTATAGACTCTGAGATTTTCCTGAGTTTCTTGGGGACAATTATAAACTACAGTCCCTTCACAGTGGGTCTCAACTCCTTGTTCTTCTGGCCTAAATTCCTGATCTTGAATAAGACAATCAATCCATCAATCAATAAAATAAAACTCCACCGTGGAAGGTGTCCTTTGAAGATGCTTTAAAAAAACATAAACATTATACTAAATTGGACTTCTTCAACCTCTCCCTGACCCCCTTTCCTGCTAGGGTGTTCTACTCAACTTGAACAAATAAGATACAAAGAGATAAGAATCTGGGGTCTGTGAACACCACAAATCTCCCAAGCACCCCTGGCAAGCCAAGCTCAGAGCTCCCTCAGCCCTTCTACACTGTCTGTGGGGCACAGCAGAGGAGGAGAAAGGTCACAAGATGGATCATGAGGGAAAATGTCTCCACAGATCTAGAGAGACCTAAATCTGACTCTGGACTCCTGGATCTCCTTGGCCTGTGGGCCAAAGAAGACACTGAACAAAGAGTAGTTCTTCAGACGGGTGGTTTTTGACATGCATTCTGACAACCTTCTACCATGGGACGGGGGAGCTGGGACCTCTTGTTTGAAATCCTCTGACTGCAAACGTAAGAAGTCATTTGCTTTGCAATATCACTGTCCAACGGGGACCTTTATTCTAGGCTGCTTGTGCCTCAAAAAGCAAACTAGGAAGTTTCTGATCCTAATTCTGGGGTTGGGACAGAATATTCTCTTCCAACCAGTCTCCCAATGACCTGAAATTACTCCAATGACCAGAGCGGAGAGGAAGGGAAGAAGTAGAAGGCAAGAAACAATGACCCTACCTGAATTGTTCGTGAAACATGCACGGTGTAACTTCCCACTGTAGAACTCCAAGCCAATGATAGCAAACATCAGGATGGCAAAGAAGAGCAGAAGACCAATTTGCAGAAGAGGTACCATGGCCTTCATGATGGACTTCAGTACAATCTGCAGGCCTAGAAGGAAAGGAAGAGAATGACAAATGGAGCCTCCCTGGGCACCATTTGATACAGCAGGCTCCCTCTACCTTCTCCTAAGAGGAGAAGGACAAGTCTTTGAGGGAAAAGAACCACTGGTCCTGAGACGATGAAGAAAATTTGCAAAGGGACAACCAGAACAAGTCAAGCCAAAGACTCCATCACTACTACCCCTAGAATCAATCTCATGCTCCTTCTCACCATTCTCTGATCATTTACATGCCTATTACTCCTTCCTTTTTTTGTTTCATCCATGTTGCCTTCTGCTTATCTTTTACAAACCTATGTGAATGTGCTTCTTTCCTAAAGGAAATTAAGCCTGGCCCCTGCTAGGCTCTAAGTCCTATGAGAGCAAGGACAAAGTTTACCTCCCCCACTACTATATCAGAATCGTATTTCTGAAGAATTTTTAATGTCAGGAAAATCAAATGCTTCCGTGACAGGATCCAAAAATATATACCAAGTATGATCAAATTATATTAAAACTCACAGGAAAAAATGCATAAAAATATAGGATAATGAGTGTTTTTCCTTTTCATTTTATATATTTTTTTTTACTTTGCAAAGATTCTACAAAGATCTTTCATTATCTTTAAAAATCTGAAAAAACAGTTGCTAGATTTTAAAGTAAAATGTTATGCCAGATTGCTGCATCCCCACTCTTTATTATCACTGGAGAAATTGTTTCTTGTTTATCCCAAATTCCTTTGGCCCCAGATCCTGCGGGGACACATCAGTAAAGCTACAGCAGAGGAGAAAGAAGAAAGGCAGGTGCTCACTAGGTATCCCTGACACGAGCTTCAGGGGTCTCAGGACACGCACAGCCCGGAGGGTCCTCAGGTCCACATGTGTGTTGAAGTGGGTTCCTGCCGTGGCCAGGATGCTGCAGATGGAGACACAGAAGGTCAAGGTTACCACAGTCTGGCTTTCTCCCCCTGTTCCATGGGGGAAGCCGGGTTGAAGAAGGCTCAGCCTGGAAAGCACACAGAGCTGATGCCAGTTGCATGTGGGAGCACCTAAGCTTGGGTGAATCATCGGTGGTTCTGACTGGAATTAAACTTAGCCATATCTGGGTTTTACTTTGCAAAGAAGCAAAAATTACCATCACACCGGAATCCTAGTTCCAAATCATGAGTAGAATACCAGCTCCCTAGCATCAGTCCCATTCCTGCCTCCAAACCTTGGTCCCCACTCTCCTCCACTCTCCTCGCTATTTCTCACCAACCTCCTTTCCCTCTTTCCAACCTACCAAGGCCCCTGGATTTTGTATTTAAGAATTTTCTTAGATTCCCCTGTCTCCTAACTCCTTTAGGGAATTTCTCTGGATCAGGTGCAGTAAAGGAGTAACTCATTCTTCCCCACCTTGGCACTTAAGAGTTTTTACCAAACAAATCAATCACACTGATGCGTATAAATTAGGGAATAACTTCACTCGTCCACATACAGCACTTCTATAATTGCTCCAAATCACTGTATAACTTGGATTTTGTTTCTTTGCTTCCATTTTTTCCATTTCCACAGACACACACACACACACACACACACACACAAACCCCCCAAAATCCATAACAATCCTATTATATTGTATACACCAAGTACCTTGTCTTCAGGAGACAATTTATTTCATAGAATCCCATGACACTGCAGGTACTGCGGATAGTCAATGATACTTAAGGATTAATGAAAAACACAGCAGATGACCAAGAACCAGCAGAGCTGGGTTTCAGTTGTGACTCAAGCACTTGAGAACTGAGTGATTTGAGGCAAGTTACACACTCCAGCAGCCTCACTATCCCCATCTACAAAATGGGGGGAGTGCCAGGACCTCGCTATAAAAATAAAATGACATGGTATTGAATATTAGGAGTATTCTAGAAGTTATAATGTGCAAACTAGAATACGTCCAACATAAATATTAATAGTATAGTTTTTGCAACTTTGTCTAATCTTAGTCTTCCTTCTTTGGAACACTACTTGAACTCCCTCATAACCTCTCCATGAGAATTTCAGCTACCTGGAGCCACTGGTGAGTGAGTCATTCAGAAAACCAAGTTTTCCATATAGTCAAAGGGTGGTGGGAATAGTTTATGTCACTTAATTATTTTGGAGGAAACATTTCCTTCAATACTTGAAATCGAACTTGAATGAAAGGTCTGTGCTGTATACCTCTAGAAAGCAGATATAGGATCAATAGGTACAAATTGCACAGATCCAGGACATGAGAATCATGAGCAGGGCTGGCCAAGAACAAGGTGGACTGTTTCATGGGGTAGGTCCTCTTCGCAACATTAAACGTACTCAACCACAGACTGTAGAACTATCTATTAGGAAGTTAAAAGTGTTCCAACGTGGGTTGAAGGTTATCTAAATAACCAGTAGAGATTTCTCTCAACTTTAAGACTCTGTAACTCTATGTTAACCCAACCTCAAAATAAGAACCAGAAAGAAACCCTACTCTCATAAAGGGTCTCAGGACCCAGGCAAGCTGGTTCTCAGATCTCCCTCTACCTCTCCTGATCCAAACTTCCACACTGTCTCTGAAAATGGGGGATGTCGACGAGCAGGGTCTCTGATGCTACTTTTGACTCTGTCTGCCAAAACCAAAGAGAGAAATTAGGGAGGGGAGTGATATCCTTTCCAATAAGTAGGGAAAACCTGAAGAGAAAAGGGAGCAAGGAGAAACGTGGAAAATAGGACTGAAAAATAAAACAGACAAAGAAACAAATAAAGGAAAGCAGAGAAAGAGAAAGCTCAAGGATCGCGTAGTGATAGAGAACTAGAACCCCAGGAAAATGGGGTCACTGTTCTGCTGAATCTGCTAAAAGGGAAAGAAGCACTGTATTCTCAGTCTTCTGAGGCGTGGTGACCATGGGAGACGCCTTTCCCTCCAGTTCGTGCTGTCTACACACACACACACACACACACACACACACACACACGGTGGGGAGACTCTGCCCTGTTCAGAAATCAGAATTCTGTTTCCTAGGATACCCAGATACACATGAGATGCTCTTTCAAGTCCTAAGAAAGAGCTACTGAAAAGGAAAATTTCCTTCCCAACCCTGAGTTGAAGGAGGGATATTTCAGAACATGGAGGTAGGGTCCAAAAGACAAAATTGAAAGGCAAGAAGGCAGAAGTGTACGGAGAAAGAAAAATGGTTGAGGGGGGAAAAAAAGAGAGGACAGGGAAGCAAATGGTGAAAGGAAACATGGAGATGAAAACAGGAAAGAAAGACGAAATAAGAGCTGGTGGAGAAGCAAATGCGAGAGAAATAAGAATTCTCATGTGGGAAAGAGAACAGAAGTGAAGCCAATTTGAAGGAGAGAAGCAAAAATATGGCACTTGTGGCCGGGGCCACAAGACACGTCCATGCTCTTTTCACCAACCTGTGCCCCAAGTTATCCAAGCTGCCTCAAACTTCAGCCAGGACCACACCACCTGGGGCCCCATGCTCCCCTAGCCCTCAGAACTTTCTTTTCCTTCATCCCATGCAGAACATCCCATGTATATATATCCCTAGTGTTCACATCATGTTTGAGGGAAGGAGGTCCCATCCACTTGCTAGAAGCAGGGACAGTGGGATTCTTCAGGGGGAAGGATAATTGAGGGAACAGGCCCTGCTGTGTGCCCCCATAAAATTCTGTGCCCACTGCCATCCCTGCCCTGCCCACATCTTAGAGGAATTCGCTGTTTTCTCTGGTTTCTCCTCTGTCTCTCCCACAGGATCCGCAACACCTCAAGCAGAGACGCCGTCTTCCCCATCTCTACATCCCCCACACCTAGCCCAGACTCCAGCAAGTAAAAGGTGCTCAGTGAATGCTTGCTGGATCGAACTGCACTGAGGAAAGTAGTCAATGTGTTGAAGCAGGAATCAAACGGACAGAAATATCACAGAAACCCTAGAATTTACCAATGGAAAGGGTAGGTGGCACCGCCCGATACTACTCAAACACACACCTATTTGAGTGCACAGGAGCGTACTAGAAATCTGTCCTCAAACATTTTAGAGTCTAATGAGGAGCTTCTAATATCGTATAGGACTCCTGCTCTCAAGCAGATCCCACAGGACAGGATCTGCCCCGTCTTCAGCAGGAGAGTTAAGAGAGAGGGAGGGAAGGAAGAAGCCTCAAAATGTGAAGACGTGCCCTTTAGCAAAGCCTCGGTACTGAAGTCTATACAGCTCAGCAAAACTCTGGGCCTCACACAGAGCAGGCCTGATGTGGGAGGCTCAAGGCAAGTACACAGTAGGAAAAGGCCCAGGCCCTCAGTCTAGCAAAAGCAGACAGACAGAGAAATGAAATAATTATAATTCACAATGAAGAATGTCTTAAGAGGGATGCTTACAAAGCGCTCCGAGAATGGGACACACTGCAGGATCACCTACGGGGCTTACTACCTGCTAGCATTTTCACCTAAGTTATTTCATTAAATCCTCAAACATATCCTGATATCACAACTGTTTCCATTTCATAGGAGAGGAAATTGGGACTTAGAAACAATTAAACTGCTAATACACGCCCAGAGCAGGTATTAAAGTCCTTCCTCTTCTGGTATCGAAGTCCAGCCTTTCCCCAGTCTGCCAGCATGCCGTGCAGTCTTTTCTAGCACAGCACAGTTCCACTGGTCCTCAGCCCAGTGTGCTGCTAAAAATACCAAGGTCACAGTGTTTAGTCTCCCAACAAGCCAGTGAGCTTGGTTCCCTTGATCCTCAAGCCACAAATCACTAAGTCCCACAGACTTGCCACTGACAGCTCTCCGGACCAGCAGGTTGGAGGCTCCTTACACCTGAGGTCACAGCTGCTGTAATATCTACACGCGCGCGCACACACACACACACACACACACACACACAGACACGCGTGCCACAGGATCAGAGAGAGGCCACTGTGCAAAGTTCCAATTCTGAGTAATAAAAGCCTGAGTTCTGCATCATCCCGTGCCCCATTTGCACATACTCTTCAGAAACAGAGGTTGTGTTTTTCCAGTTCTTTTGTCCCCAGGGTGGGGAGCTCTGTACACAGAAGGTGCTTAATTACTACTTTACCCCCAAAGCAGAGGAGAGACATGAACCTCTGAGCACCACCAGCAGAGACGGAGGGTTTGGTGCACTGTGTATGTTCAAAACCTGTTTCCTCATGGATGTCATGGCTCATCCCTACCTCTAATGCTTCTGCTCTGAGCTGTCAGCAGGTAAGAAGAGCCTAGAGGCTGATATGATCCTGAGGGTGTGGCAGGACCGTCACTGCAGTGGCAGGAGATGGAAGGGATGCTCTGAGCCATCACAACCAAATGGTCTCTCCCCAAGTCAATCACCCAAAGAATTCTCCCACTCAAAGAATTCCTTTTGACCTTGGGGTTCTGTCTTAGCCTCTTCGTCAACCCAAGTCTAACAGTCTCTTTTCACACTTCCTTGGCTAAAAATTCCCTGAAGCATTATGCAAATATTACATCAAAATATTATCTGTTGCTTATCTGCAATTCGGATTTAACTGGGCATTTTGTATTTTTATTTGCTAAATCTGGCAACTCTATTCAGGGGATAACCAGGTAAATAGCTTCCCTCCCAGTTGTTGCCCTAGCCCTAAACAAACGTGTAAATTCTCTTTTGTGAAGAAGAGACACAAACCAAGAGTCTCCTGCCCTTAGGCCCCGGAGTCCCTCCTGAGCTCTAAAAAGTATCTCTTTGCTTCCGCCCATATAAATCCCAAGGGAGAAGCTCATTAGCATTCAAAAGGCAAGTTATTCATTAGCATCTGTGCAAAAAGGCTGATTAACAGGAGCAAAGGGTGTTAGGTGTTTAACCAGCCCATATTACAGGAGACCAAGAGGAGACAGGGAGGGACCTAATTCAAGTTGGATTCCCTACACAGATTTGAGCCAGG